GACACTTAAAATGCTGTCTTTTTGAACATGAAAGCAATGCTTGCAGCCCACTTAGCTTTCCTTAGTGGCTTGTAGGTTACCTGTTCAGGCTTAATTTATAAGAAGTTTGGTGGATGCATCCTTTACAAATAATTGTTCTCCTTATTAATGGTTTCTTTTTTTTTTATACTGAAATGTGATTAAGTTGTATATACTTTTTCCATTAACTATCAGATTCTGTGAAAATCAAACAGGAAGATTGTATACATCTCCTCAATTAAATTGATGAGTTTTATAAGCAATTTCTAGCCTTGATAAAACAGTCAATTTATTAAATGAGACCCATAAATTACTTCAAGGATAGAGGTAGAACAATATTTTATAAAAATGTATTTTAACTGATGTGATAAGCGTCTTAATTACCAAATCAAACTTTCATTCTAACAAATAGTTTTACTCTACTTCCACATACAGTTAAGGTTGTATGAAATTTTTCTGGTGAGGAAATCTACATTATGGGTTATAGTCATGTGATACATGCATATCTTCTTGCCATGCAATCTTTATGTTAGGATGCTTATTTATTCAGGAATAAGTATCTTACATATTTGCTGTACTCATTTATTTAATGGTAAGTCATGTACATAGTTCTTCCTTTTCTCAAAAATCTAATTTTTTAAGTTTGATATACTGCTTTGAAAAATGAAGTTCCGTTTCTGGGCGTAAATAGTAATTGTTTATATTCTGTTTATTATCAAAATTAAGATAATAAAATGGAATGTAAGTCCTGGTATCTTGTTTGACTTTAAAGATGTTGATTGGGAAGATCCAGATTTGTGTAATAGACAGTAGCTTAAAACAACATCTGGGAGACAGGTCAGTGCTTTGTAGTGTACATGTGTATTTAAGAGAGAACCAGTAGATTATTGCTGTGAATCTACCTTGGTCTATCAAGAAGCTCCTTTGAAATAGTCGCCGTTTGGTGTATAACTAGGGTAGAGCAGCAGAAATACCACTGGTGAGTGATTTCACAGCTGTTTTCTGTGGAATGCAGCTTGCCATTGCATTACTTTTCTGTCTTTTAAGATAGTCTGGTTTATTTTTAATTATTCTTCTCTGGCATATTTTTTTATGTGTTCATTTTGTAAGGGCTGGAAGTGTTTGTTAATAAAGGAGACGAGCTATTAAGCAATTCCTCTTGTTTGATGAAAACTTAAATAGCTGTATGTAATGGAATTAAATAAGGAATTCTGCTAAAGCAGTGACATTTATGGCTGTATTAATGTCTGTAATTTATTTTGAGAATAAATTCAATTTTGATGCCTTCCTTGATCAAGTAATGAAAAGGTAAACAAGTTTGGTACAACAAATTGTAGAAATATTGCCTCATATCTTTATCCCTGCAAATGGGTATGCTTGCTGTTTGCTGAGATAACAAGAAGAAAAACTTTGAAAATTTTCTTAATGGCTGCTTGGAAGTAATGTCTTTTATTTGAGCTTGGTGTCAAAATTAGGAGCTCTCATCAGCTTTTACTGAACTGCAGTAAACCAGAACTCTCACTTTCTTATATTGCAGTGGGTGCTGGATGCAGGGGACAGTGATGCTAGTGTGGTGCTAGCTGACAGTAGTTTAACATATAGTAATGCTACACTGGGAACTGCTGGATTTTCATGGTTTAGATAAAGAAGTACGAGGGAGGGACTCTACGTGAAAACACTTTAAATACTGCCAGCCACATATCGTTTCAGCCACTTTCTCCTTTCCACAAAAGGAAAATCACACCTGAATCACACACCAAATTGTGACTTAATCTGCAGAAAGTTTCTTTACCTGCCCTTGATTCTGCTGTGGGCTGGAGTTGGGGAGGCTAAAGGACAATTGTCTGTTTGCTGATCCTGCTTGGGTTAATATATTTTACTTTCTGTTGCTCAGCTGCATTTGTATACTGAGAAGGGAATGTACATAGTTTGGAAGCACAGTATTTACTCTAGTAATAGCGAGGGGGGGTTGTTTGTTTATTTTTCATGACTATGAAGTACAAAAGTAATAGTGACACTGGATTAAAAAGAAAAGCTTAGTTTGATTTCTCAATACCTGCTGATGTTATGTAACCTGATATTAAAACACAAACATGTCTTTACAAGGTGGTGCTTGTTTGTGTTTAAACCATTTCCTCTGAAAGCAACGCCCGTTTTGCTTAACACTAAAGTTCCATCGTGTTCTGTTACAGTTAACTACCTTGAACACAATACTCTGGTGTGGAAAAGACTACCAAAGATAATAACTGTGGAACACTGAGTGAATGTTTTGTATAGAAATATTTGTCATGGTTTTCTGTTGAAAATTTCTTCCTCTTCCACTGCTTGTGATGCTTCATACGTGCTGGTAGTGACACATCCTTGTTTTCTTCCTATTTTTTGCTAGGTGATGTTATCAGTTCCAACGGAAAGATTTGCATTGGTCTTCAAAATAAATGTGTTTGTGTTCTGCATAGTCTGAATCACAGCAGTTTGATAGGCATTTCTGAAAGGTGGCTTGAATAGGTCAAATAGAAACAATTCTTAAGGAAACACTTATCTTGATATAGACACAAGTATGTATGTAAATGCAGTCAAGTAAAAATAACAGGTAAACTATATAAAATATCTGTAACAGGAGGTCTTTTCACAAGAGAGACTGCATGAGGATGGAATTATCTGTTAGTTATGGAAATTACTGGATGCATAAAGCTGGGGCAGGTCAAGTAATGAACAGTGTGAATTTAAGAGTCTGCATTTGTGTAAACTTCAAGGGCTTCCACTGTTCTGTCACTTCTCTGTGTGTGATTGGACAACGTGCAGTGGAAAGTGAAAATATTTGTAAAAAGTGAAATGTCAAGCCCTTTATTGTGTCCATAAACTAAAGAATATCAGTAAAATACTGAAACTAGTATCTTATCTATTATTTATACAAATTTCTGCAGTGAACCTCTGTAACCAGTAATGTTCAGTCTGAGCAATGTGTTTAATAAAGCAGATAAGAACCTAAATATAAGGGTAAGGTTTTTTTTAAAAAAAAAAAAAAAGGTTTACAAATGTTACTTAAAATCCTAGGCAAAGTACATATCTAGTCTAGGCTATTTTAAAGATAGATGAAAATTGTTGTGATTTTAACTGTAAGAAAAGAGGACGCTATCTAGCATCATATTTAAGTTAGTAATCTCTGTAGCTTGTAAGAAAAACTGGAAAGTACTTGTACATGAAGGAAATGTGTAAATGTTTTTTACTGTTTTGCTATATTTGCCAACTAAATTTGAGGCAAATGTTTATATTCATTATTTTCTTTTGCAATTATTAATGCTAAGACCAAGATTAATATTTTTGTAAGCACTTACATGTCTAGACGTTATATCCCTCTAAGCTTAAAGTACAGTTAGCAAATCAACCATATAGGCAAGCAATACTGTTTTGATTCTTCAATATTAAGTAGAATTCCAATTAATTGTAAAAATATAAAATTAATTGTAAAAATGGTCCTCTGGAAAAAGAAAATCCCTGTTGTTAACATTCAGTGTACATTTGGAAGCAAAATTCCATATTTGCTGCATTGCTTTAAAAAACCCAGACACGGTATCCAGTAGCTTTAGTACCTCCAAAAACAGTTGCCAAAATCTTTGAGAAGATATTTTTGATTTTTTTTTTTCAGAAATGCTCTTATTTTTTGTCTTAATCACTGAAATTATCACTAGAGATTATTTTTTTAATGACAATAGCATAAACATCAGATTAATAAAAAGTTAGTAGTGTTTTTACTTGTTTCTACTATTCTGCATGTAACTTGAATGACAACAAGCAGTGTAGTTTCATTATTTTTGTAGTGATAATAGTGACATTTGTAGGAAAGCTATCTAATTTACAATCCTGAAAATAACCAAAGAGTGGTACAAAACAGTTTATTAATTCGGGTCTTGGTTTTCTGTTGTTCTGGGTGTTTTACTGTTCACACCTGGGAAAGCTCTCTTTGTTGCCTCCAAACACTTAAGTCACTATGTCCTGAAGATACTGTCCTTCTGAGTGTCTTGAATCCACTTGGTTTTTAACAGTGGTCAGGTATATTGAGCAAAATGAGACTCTCTTGGATACGAGTTTCTCACTTTTTGCTTGACGGAATTATGGGACTGGTCTGATTTTTCCCAATGTGGCTTAGTCATTAGAGAGCATGACACAACATTTTTGTTAGAATTAAGATTCATTTTTTTGAGAATGGGGAATCTTGACTTCTTTTCCGAGTTGTGGAAGAGCATTACCAAGTTTGTCCAAGAACCTTTTTCTAGATCTTCATTCTTTCTTTCTTTGTCTTATCTCAATGTTTGTCCAGCTTGTTGCTGTTCCAACCACCTTTTTATCTTTGCTCCTCAATATTCCTTTCCTTATTGCAATGTGCCGGTGGACAGTGCTAGTCAAACCTGTTCTCTTTTGCTACTCAAGCCGGTGAAGTAAGTAGGAACACTTTTAATTTGGGCATTGGTCGTGTGTACAGGAAAAATCTTCTTCTGATAATGTATGAATTCTCCAAATACATTAGCTGTTGAACTTTTAACGGGCTTTTTGGATATATGAAATCGCAGTTTAGGTGATTCGAGTTTAATAAACTAATCAATTAAAATCAGTTACTTTTAATAGAAAGTCTTAGGAAACTGAAGGTATAGATGTGAACATCAGGGCTATGCAGGATATGACAAGTGTTTCTTAATGTCATGGCCAAATATTGTAGCTTCACAGCTGTTTTTTGAGGCTGTGTCAGTTCACAAGTTACACGCATTGCAGAGACTATAATTTTGGTAGAATATTTCATAACACACCTGGCAATATTTTTTTAAAATATATTTCATAACTTTTGTTAGTCCAGCAGCAGAAGTTTTCTTTTTTTCGTTGTTTCGCAGAGAGGAAGAGGAAAAGGAGCATCATGTGAGCACATCTTTACGGCTTTGGGACAGTGTTTAGTGACATTTATGGCATGCTGATTTTTCTTTCCCTTTCAGAAGAGAAACCCGATTGCTCCAAGGCCCGCTGCGAAGTCCAGTTTTCTCCTCGCTGTCCGGAAGATTCCATCCTGATTGAAGGCTATGCTCCTCCCGGTGAATGCTGTCCACTCCCAAGCCGTTGTGTGTGCAATCCTGCAGGCTGCTTGAGGAAGGTTTGCCAGCCTGGCTATTTGAATATATTGGTTTCCAAGGCATCAGGAAAGCCAGGGGAATGCTGTGATCTCTATGAATGTAAACCAGGTAAAAGTAGACACAATTTGTTTACCATCTTTTTTTCCCTAACTGTCTGAGAACACCTTGTGTAAAGCATCTAATAAAGCCTACACAGGCTTTAAATTATTTTGATTCTTCTTCAAAAATTGAAATGATGATATGTGGGCAATACCCATTTTAAAAAAGATAAATATTATGATAAATTTTGCTTTCTCTTTTTTTTTTTCTTTAGGCATTAATTTAAACTGACCAACAAACAAAAAGTAAACTAGTTAGAGTATTAGATTTCCACTACTACTGAAAGTGACATAAATTATACACTGATTAAGTTATACAGAGGTTTTTTGTAGTAGGACTATGCTGTGTATGGACAGGAATTTAAGTTTCTGGTTTAAGATTGCTCTAGATTACAGGGTGGTGACCATTAAAATCTAGAGAGCAAAAGGATTGTGGAAGAGCATAGTAAAAGTTTTTACAACATTTCAGTATTTACCCATTTTCATGAGAACATGAATCATTCTTTATTATGATTTACAATTCTCAGTGAAGTGGAAGATGTAATTCACTCTTCTTTTTGATCCAGGCTTTGGAAAAGATGAATAATAAAAACAAATGGATGAAAGCAGGCATGTAAAATTGTAGAATCCAAAATCTTATATGCAAACAGGTTTAGTATGCTTAAGCTGTGCCTTTTCTATGCTTGCTGGAAATTTTCTTAAGTCCTCCACAAAAAATTGTACAGTCTTTACATCTTCTAGTGCTATCTTTGTGCTTTTCCTAATATTCAATGCAAATCTGCCTGTGTGGAAATGTAAGCAAACTTTTTTGTTCTCTGTCCTCAGTAGTTGGTGAACAAGTCTTTATAATAATTTTTGCTCTGAAACATTTTGTCAACTGTAGTCTTCTTTCATGTAAAATTAGCTGTAATTTCTTATGAAATAGTTTCCTTGGACTCTTTCCTTGTTAGGTTGCCCATCTATAAGTTTTCTTAAGTTTATCCACGTCTTTAAAATGTGGTATCCAAAAGCAGACTACTATTTTTGGGCGAGTTTTCATCAGCACTAAATACTGCAGAATATTTGCTTTCTGTTGTTCATGCAAAATACTAAATAAGACCTGACTGTTTTTCTAGTTTGTGAAATGTTGTGATCCCAAAATCTTTCTGTAGCATGACTGTTACTAAACCACTCTATTTGTACATTTTAATTCTTCCTATATATGCTTCAAATATGCCCTTACTGAATTTTACCTCACTGATTTTTATTATTTATTTATTTCTCAAAATAAATCTTGGCTCTGATCAAGTCCTGACAACTGTTATTTTGCATTCCCATCTTGCAGTCTGCAAATGACTGTCCAAACTTACCTTTGTAGGTTCTCAGAGTTGTTTTCAGTTTGTTAGTATTACAGAATCTTCAAAATTAAAATGAGACTATTCATTGCATTAGTAACTGCGTATGTTGTTTTCTGAGGTAGTTTGTGATTTTTGTGGTGGGGAGTTAAGAGGTGAAGGTACATAGGACTGGAAAAATGAAGATGCATGTTAGGTGAGTGGGAGAGCAGAGACTTGGAAGAGATTGGGGAAGAAGACTAATGGAATTTAAGTGTAGAACTTTGCAATGGGAATTAGAAATTTAGAGGCTGAAGGAAAACAAAGAGTTCCCTACCTTGGGAGATGATTAAAGTGTGTTTCTCAGGCGGTGACTAAGAGGCTGAGGAGTGTAGGTGGATTCTCTTGCGCATCCCTGCAGTGATAGGAGATGAAAGGTGTAACGGCTAAACTACAACTGACAGATTAAATGGGGCCCCTAGGTGCTGCAATGCCTTGGCTTTAGGATATGCTGTTAAGGTGGAATTATTAGTCACTACATAGCCTGATTTTTGTCAAGTTAGACTTCAGTGCCTGTCCAAGCTGACTTTTATGACTTTGGTCTAGATGGTGTTTTTGTCTGCTGTTTGACGTAGTGGGAAAGTCACAAAGGAACAAGCCAGCACAGGACTGGAAGACAGGGAAAAGGGAGTAGGTGTATGTTGACAGATCTTAGTAGAGTGCAAATTGCTTACCACAGAAGGCACTTTTTTTTTAATGGCTAATCTTTCCAAATCTGAACTTTTTTCAGCTTTCAGAGGAACCTTGTTTTCAAGGAGTCTAAACTGTACTTGTATAGACAAGGTAATTTGTACTTGATACACAAAGGAAATTAGACTAAACAAATACTGAAATCTCCTTTTTATGTTTCCCTTCCTGTAGAAAGTTTAGGGATTTTATTTTTAAATTTGCAAGTTAGCATGAATTTTACTGGTTCTTTTTCCGTCTGTTCCATCATGTTCACCACTGTCTCTGTAGTTTTAAATAAATTTCTTTGTTTTACTAGGACTGTATGTCCATAAGCTTATAGAATTATAGAATAATTTAGGTTGGAAGACTAGATGACTCTGGAGGTAATGTAGTCCATCTTGCATCTCCTGCACTATTTTAGTTTTATTCATATACTACTGTATATGTAGTAGCATGGAAATTTTTATATGTGTATGAGCATTATGTGAATTATGTGGACTTGCTGAAATAGAGGTCAAAAAGTGAAGTCAGATAATGTTCCTTACATAGCAGGAATATCTATTCTGTCCATGGTAGGCCTGTGTCTTCACAGTTTGACTTGGTATCCTGAAGAATTATAGGAAAGAAGAGTTGGAGAGGAACTGAACTAGCAGTTGTCTGTTTCATGTTTCCTCTGTTTTTAATTCTATGCTCCTGAAAAAATAGCACAATGGACAGTATAAAGCCTGGTAGATAGTGTTCCTGCAGAGTTTCTTATGGGGCTGATGCCACTAGTTTTACTCAATAGTGTCATTGTGTTTATGGAGTTCAAATGTTAAACAAAAGAGAACTGCTTTCTGTACTTTGCCAGAGACCTAAAAACTTTAATTTGGTCATGGCTGCTGCTAGAGGGCCATTCCTGCACCTTTGTGTCTGTTCGAGCAGCCTTCATAGGGGTTTTGTACCAGCAAGGGCTTTCTGGTGCAAAAAAATTGCCATAGGCTGGGATGGGTACTTCCCCTGATAGCACTGCTGCATTATGCCAATATAAACTGTTTGTTTAAATTGTATTTATTTCTGTTCCTTAATAAGATGTCATGGCTCTCCAGTTTACAGTGGCATTTGAGTTTAGAGTGTTCTGCCGAGAAATGCATATGTTCAAATACTGTGATTAGCAACTGAGTTACTGGAGGGAAGATAAGAACAGTTTCCTTAACAATAAATGCTAGAATAAAAATAAAGTATTTCTTTTTGAGATCCACTTCCACTTTTACCTCCTTTACTTTACAAATACAATAATTAAAGGCATTGGCATTCAGTTAAAATGAACAGTGAAGAAACTAAGTAGCTGCTTCTTACGTGTCTGTTAAACTCCAGATTAATTTGTCTTTAATGTTCTTATCTGTTTCTCTTACCACAGTTGCGGCATGTACTGAGAACAAATACGTCATTTCTCTTTTGTTTTGCTGTGATTGCTAAGCTCAGAGGTGAGGTAACAGTGCTCTGGTGCCATAAGCAACCTACTTTGTTCCTGTGAGCTACGTATAGCTTGCCGTTCATGAGCAGCAAATTTATTGAATGAGCACTGAATTTAGTTTTAAGCTGGGAGTTACAGTTCCTGAAAAGTATTCTCAGAGTTAAGTGGCTTTTTTTCTAAAAGATAGTTTGAATGAACAATCTCAAAAGGAGCTGCATAATGTGTTAAGAGTAAAAATAAAAATAACCTGAAAAAATATTTGCAGGAGCGTATGTGCCTCTTGCTGAGTAAAGCTCAAGTGAAAACAACGTGAGCAATGATGTTTTTAAAATTATGATTTTTATTTAAAGATGGAGTTAAAATCTAATCCAAAAAGTATTTCTGAAGTTATGATAGGAACTCTACCTGCCACTTCTGAAAAAAGAAAGGTAAATAGTTTGCTTTGGCGGATATCCGACAGATATTTGTACCTTTATTGATAACTTTGTTGTTGTATATGGGGAGGTGGGGAGTGTCATCTCCTTCTGACATCCTTGGGAAATGTCTGTCATGCTAGAGAGAAACTCTGTTGAAAAGACTGCTCATTTGTCATTCTTAGAGCTGTTTTTCTGGCAGAGCTTTCATTCACTTACCTTCTCCAGCACCTCTGCACAGCCTGAAAATTACTCTTACTGAAATGGAGGGGATTTTTTTTTTCTGGTACTCAGTCTTGGTTTGAAGGCAATTGTAAAGATAATGTTATTTGCCTTATTTCTTTGGGAAATTGTGCAGTCAGGGCTTGATGGAAAGTCTGAGATCAGCAGCAAACTTGAGTAGGTAGAATCATAGAATAAGGGTGTGCTCAATCCCTTCATCTAGGCCATTGATAAAGCTACGAAACAGAACTGGCCCCCGGCACTGAGCCCTGGGGAACTCCACCTGTGACTGGCCACCAACTGGACTTAACTCCTTTCATCACCACCCTTTGGGCTTGTCCATCCATTCAGCAAAGCATATGCCCATCCGAGGCATAGGCAGCCAGCTTCTCCAGGACAATGCTGTGGGAAACTGTGGCTTTGCTAAAGCCCAGGTAGACAACATCCACAGCCTTTCCCTCATCGACTAAGCACGGCACACATGGTGGCACTCAAGATGATCGGCTCCATAACCTTCCCCGGCACCGAGGTCAGGCTGACAGGCCTGTAGCTCCCGAGATCCTCCTTCTGGCCCTTCTTGTAGATGGGTGTCACACTTGTTAACCTCCAGCCCTCTGGGATTGTACATCAGCATAATATGTAGAGGTGAAACTAAATATATTTGTGTTGACATATTCTACTATAAAGTTATTTTCACGTAGGCATGAAGAGTCTCATGATCAGAGACCTTCAGTTTTGTAGTCTGCAAAGGAGGTTGCACATGACTGCAGCTATGTCAGGATCTGCAATCACAGTAGGGTTTCTGCTACATTCTCATAGAAAAATTTGTAACTCTTAGATGCTACTGTATACAAGTTCAGTGCATGACAAAGTTCCTGAAGACTTGTAAGAAAAGGTTGATCAGGTACATTTTCGCTGATAGGATGTTTATCAATTTGGGAAGATATATATTTGTCAAACTGTATATTTAAAGCTTAAAGCCCCTTGGACAGACAAAAATAAATTTCTTTAGACAGGATTTGAAATTTTTAAAGCTTATAGTAAAATACATAATAATGGCTTATAATAAACCTGTTCATTAAAAGTACACTTTGTAATTATTGGAATCAAAGTAAGATGTGGAAAGAGAACTAATAGTTCGGTGGTAAATGTTTGCAGTCTTATTTTTTAGGACAGTAGTACTGTTAATCGAGGGGACACATTTTTAAGTAGTGAAGAGTCCATTTATGTAGTATTCTGTAACCATACAATACTTCCATCTGGAAGCTTGGCTCAATATTTTTTCCAGTTTGAGAAACTATTTAAATCGGGAGAAAAAAAGTAGGAACTTTTTTTTTTTAACCTTTCTTAAAATATTCTTTATTACTTACTTCTCTTTCTCTCTCTCCTGTAAGGAAAAGCTGAGAGGGGCTGAGGGAAAACTCGGGGGAGATCTCATCAATGCATATAAATATCTGAAGGGAGGATATGAAGTCCAAGCCAGGCACTTTTGAGTGATGCACAGTGGTAGGACCAGAGGCAGTGGGCACGAACCGAAACAACAGAGGTTTCCTCTGAGCATCAGAAAACACTTTTTCACCATGAGAGTGACTGAGCACTGGCACAGATTGTCCAAAGAGGTGGTGTAGTCTCCATCCTTGAAGATATTCAGAAGCTCTCTAGGCACAGTCCTGACCAACGAGATCTACGTGGCCTGGCTTGCAAGAGGTGTTGGACAGATGACCTCCAGAGATTCTGTCCAACCTCAGCTATAATTAATGACGTTATCTAATTACATTAATCTGGTAGTGTAATAGTAAAGATCTCCCATTTTGGAGAGGAGACTGAAGTGGGGTATGAGTATGGATTATAAAATTCTGTGGGTGTTTGATAAGGTCATTGCATACCCTTTGTTCACCAAATCCTACTAATCCTTACAAGAATTGGAGGGCACTCTGATAGTAGTAAGAGATTAGTATAAAATAAATAAAAAGGATAAGTCAAATCAAACAGGGACTACAGCCATTTAATCATCCAAGAATTTTCTATTTGAATGCTTTTGATTTGGCATTTCCTTGTAATTTTTCTTAGGTTTTTACTTTAATAATAAAGACTGTTTGGGCTGCTTTTAAGTGTTAGCGAGCTATGCACTCCATAAGTATTGCAAAGAGTTTGAACTATTTAGGAAGAAAGAACGGCTTAGCTGAGACTTGGTGGCATAATTAGGGAGTTCTCTTGTGTTTTTTCTTTCATTGTCATTACTGGTATTGAAAGATGGACACAGAAATAACTATGCAGTAGCAGCTTGTTGGTGAAACTCATTTCTAGTTTAAACTCAGGAAACTGGACATTGGTAGTTACTTGGCATGACAAAATCATGCAAATTTTATTGGTTGCATTGGACTATACTGATGAGATCATGATTCTCAATACCTGTTGTTATAATAGATGAACTAAATAAAGAAGAGCTCTTTCAGACGTGTTATTTGTTAATAAAATGCCATATAAAGCTCTAGTATTTTTTAAAATGAAGTATTATAAAATTAAGTATACTGTAATTATTATATAATTATTGTAATTTATAGTTATAAAATTAAGTCTTAAAGGCAAATAGGTATCTTTTTGTGTTTAAAAAGAGAGATAAATTTAATTGGCTAATTGCTGTTGTTGAGATGAGTACCTGGAGTCTTTCCATGTAAATTGAGTATCTTTCTGCATTGCTCCACAAAATGGACTGTTATGAAATTTGCTGATTCCTCTGCGAGAACTTCTTAAACTTGATTGTTCTGATTTAGCAGATGAGTTTCTGTTATTTCCCAAATAACTGGAAGAAGTCAAATTCTGAATATCGCATGTACAGACGGTACTCACATACTCATGTACTTTGAAAATTAATGGTCTTGAGGACAAACCTGCTGGTCCTAACCTTGATGAGCTGCAAACTGGTTTCACTGGACTTGTGCTTTCATTTAAATGCTTAATGAGACATGCTAAGTAGATCTAATTCTGAGATTGATGTTTCATTATAACGGATTGAATTGTTATTGCTGTGTACCTCTGAGGATCAAGCCTGAAAAATACAGGACTAGGTGATAGAAAATGGGACTTTAAAGCTCTTACAAGAAGCATGGTGTTGCAGCGTTGCCAAGCTGCTTTAGCACCGCACTAAGTGGTCATAACAGCGTCAATACTGAAGAGAAGTTTGATCAGTAATGCGGGATATTACACTGTATACGTTTTCAGTCTGATAACGTTCTGTTCATCCTGCCTACTCAGTTGGAAGGTAGCTTATTTCTTTAAACAGGGAACCATGTCTTATTCTGTACTTTCTTAGCACAGTTATGATAAGGAATAGCAAAGAGATAATGCCTGAGCTGGTATTGTTTGTTAACATGGAGAGTTATGAACAAATAAGATAAACATATGTTTCAGCTTTTCCTGAGTATGACTCGTAGGATTAAATGTATATTCAGCTTGAGGTTTTTTGCATTTTCAAGCATTTGTTGCTTTCTGAAAAGCCTGAGTCTTTCTAGTTATGCAGAATTCTTCATCTTGTTACTGCAGATAAATTTGATAGTTTGCATTTCTTTTTTTCTTTTGCCATATAGAAATACCTAAAATCCACAGAAATAATACTGAAAATGTAGTTTCGTTGTGCAGGCAAAACCCTGCAATATATCTTTATTATTATTATTATTATTATTATTTCCTGTAACTCAGGTATTTTAGTTTTTTCTAAGATTCTAATTAGGAAAAAATAAACAATGAATTGTTAATTGTGTTAAAAGCTGTGAAGAAAATATGTTCTCAGGAACCTAATACACTTCTAGTAACTTATATTGCTCATAGGTTTAGTGATTGTTTAAGCTTGTTTGTCTAACTTTTTTTTATTAACTAATATTAGTCCAATTGCTTCCCTAGTCAATAACTTTAAAAAGTGAATCCTAAAGAGAATAAAGTCTCTATGTATTTTTACCCTGTGAGCATGCACTCATTAGATAATTTTTTTTTACTTAAATTAACAGGCTGATGCATAACTCGTTGCTTATCGTGAAGTAATTTGTAAAAAGCTTCTAAAGCATGAGTAAAAGAATTTTCTTCTTCCCTTCCTCCATAGTGTTCAGTGTGGACTGCAGCACAGTCGAGTGCCCTCCCGTTCAACAAGTTGTTTGCCCGCTGGATAGCTATGAAACCCAAGTCAGGCTGACGGCTGATGGCTGCTGTACCCTGCCCACAAGGTTGGTGTCATGATGGCTGAGCATTTTCAATTTGTTCTCCGTCATCCAAGTACTACACCTGCTGGATAATAATGTATACTTCTGTGGCATTAAATGTTAATACAGAATAAGAAGTATATGAAGTAGGTTAAAGGTATATCAGGCTGATTGAAATGCAAAACCTGTCTTTGAAGCAGAAGAAAATTGTGCTCAGTTCAAATACATGAAGGTGATTCTTGCAAAATTTGAGATGTTTGTGCCTCTAGATTGACTTTTATTTTTTTTTTTAGTGTTCTGAATTTCACAAAAATAACTCTTCCAATAAACTTTTGAAGGTTTTTAGTAAGAAATTAAATGATAGAGATGCCAGAAGATACACTAGAGAAAATCTCACCTAGTTAAAGTTATTTTATGTATGTGGAAGACTATTGTAAGAAGCTGAAAGATGGTGGCTTTCTAGAATTTTAGGGAAACAGAATTTTCAGATATTCGCTTCCATTTAACTTCTGTTGTTATTCAGTGGGTATAATTTATTACAATTCAGTAAAATAAGACAGTTTGGAGTTGGTTTTGTGGCAAAATTCTGCACCACTATTTCAGCTTCTGTTTTCAAAACAGGCTTTCCAAAATTCAGCAGTATGCCAAATTAAAGCAAAAATACTGTAAGTGAAAATATTTTACCTCATGTGAGATGGTAAAGGAGTGATAAACCTGGGAGGGTTTCAGAAAACAGAAGATATCAAAAGTTGTGTAATGAATCAGGGACTTTCTCTTCTGGATAATTTCAAATTTTAGTAAACAGCACTACCTGAAGTTCTTTCTAAACCTGACAAATTTTATTTTTAATTGTAGAATACACATGAGAGTCTGCTACTGAAAAAAAATACTTATTATCATTTTTCAGTGAATGCTACAAATATTCTTTCGTTTGGAATAATTGTTTAATTTTCTTCCTCTTTTTGTTTTCTGAATTTTGAACCAGAGCATGATATGGATTCTCAGTGTCCTCTATTTATTCTTAAACGTATTGTTAATTACCATCCTAAGAATTTTGATAATTTGATATTAGTTGAGAGCTGCCCTGGCTAGTTGTTATAGCGCAGGAGGCTGTAGATTTTAACTGGTCATTGTACTGGCATTGCTGACAGTACAGGTCACCAAGAAAACTAGATAAAATGCTACTAAGAACTGTATTCGGAAAGATAGATTATAACGTCAAAGAAGCAATCTCAGATTAAAATTATGTAACTTTCTAGTTTAGATTAATACTCAGAAACTTTGACATAACAGAAAACTTAAATTAATGGTAGATTTTTACTTCTGAATTTGTTCAGCTTCCTGGATTAAAAAGTGATATATTTGCCAAATTATTTTTGTTTCCCAAAAGAAAACTTATGTTCTCTTTTTCGACAATCTGAAGTAAATTTTGCTTTGACTTTTTTCTATTGCTTGAATGGAGGGAATGAAAAATAGCTTCTTAATTCTTTGTAGATGATAACTTCAGTGTTCCTCTATCAGGAAATGTTGAGTACCAAGAAAATAAAACTTCATTTATTTCAGAACAAATGACCAGTTGGAAATATTTTCTGTTGCTAACACATACATGGGAACTGATCTTAAATAAAACACCTAGAGCAAACATATCCTTGAAAAAAGCTTTCTTCAATAATGTTTTATAAGGATAATCAAATGGTTTACTGTGTTAAATAGAACTGATGTCTAAAAATTGTGTATATGCGTGGTACTTAAGTGACAAAACCAGTATCTTCATCTCCTGCACACAGAGATCCCAATTGTACAACCAGGCTTAGAGTATGTGAATTATAAGATAATTTCAAATTGCACTGAAATGTCTTGGAAATCAGATTACTGTGCATTACTGGGATCAGAGTTTAATGAGGAATCTGAGCTGGGGTAGATGACTAGTTAGCTCCTGAAGTCTTATGGTTGAGTCTGAGGGGTTTTTGTGTTAATATCTCTGTCCTCCTTGATGCGTACAACTGCAAAAAAGCATAATCAACATAACCAAGCCTGAGCCTGCAGACAGGTTGAAACAATTAAAGGAGTCTTATACTCCTCTATTAATTTTTAATTTTGTGACTCAGCCTGTGTTGCTGTATATAGTTATTAAGTGGATTGCTAGATTTTTGAATTGCCTTAATTCAGCCAAAGCAATAATACACTTTTTAATAAGAGTAGATGAGAAGAAGAGAAGAAAATTTGAATCTGGCAGCAATAAGATTGTATAGATGCTTTACTTGTGTGCCTGCTAGAAATGTATTTAGATTTTAATAGGTTGCTGTCCTTTTTAAGGAAGACAGTGCCATTTTTATCATTCATGTGCTGTAGCTAAAGGTATTACTTGAAAGGGGAAATAAAGCAATACAGGCATATTGAATGAAAAAAGAAAGATTAGATGAAAGTTAGAGGGAAGAGAAGTATATGTATGAAAAGAAAGAGAGCAGAAGAGGAAACTAAATTCAGTTACCTGGAACATAAAAGTCAACCGTTTGGATTCACATTCAGTGTTTCCTCAGATCTGAGAAAACATTGAAGCTTTATATTTGAAGGCATGGTCTCTATCTGACATGAGACTTGCGTTTCAGAACTACAGAAAAAGTCAAATATTAAGTGCAGAGTTATGAAAGAATGACTCTGGGCAAAGAGGAGATGGTTTTTCCTTAATTCTTACTAAATTCAGATTAAACACTAACATTGCATTGACTGTGATTCAATTTAGTATCACCTAAATCCGTATCATCTCTCTTCTTAATCCTTAGAATTAAGTTCAAAAGAAGTGTCTCTGTACTTTAAATGTACTTTTAAGAATAATTTATTAAAAGAAAAGACATAATGTTTCACAAGTTCATTGTCTTTAAAATTCATACAAATATTTTTAAGAGTATAGATTTTAGATAAATTGCAATAAACAGTTTATTTTACTGCCACTAAAATAAAGGATTTATACCTGGAGAACCAGAGAAGCATCAAGAAGTGTGTCACAGTTAGGGATGGATGACATGTCACTGGCCCAGTTAAGAAGTAGCTGACAACTTCATGTACAGCAGGAGCAGATTGACTTACGTCCCACGTCTTGTTCTAGTCTGGTTTATTGTATGTAATGTGCTAGAAGAGCAGAGATCCTTAAGTCTGGGGTTAAGCTGGCATTTGTTTAATGAATGAGCTCTTGAATGCGCATTCATAATATTGAAAACTTCTCTAGCAATGCCAGGTGAAAAGTGGGAATGGTGAACAAGTATCTCATACTGCAAGTTCTTGTACTTGCATTCAGAGGTTACATTTAATTTTACATTGATTTCTAATGCAGTACTGCAAACAGAACAGCCTGCTGATTTGGCATTGATATAAAAATACCACTTGCCTCAGCTTTCATCAGACCCTCATGAAACACTTACCTTAAATTTCCAACTATTTCCTATGTTAGGAGAGCTAGATGGTATGTCTGTCTGTACATTTGATAAAGATGCTGTCTTCTTCAAGGAGCTTATCAAATAAAAATCTATTAGAGCTCATACAGAGAAGTTATCACAGTTTTGTTAATACAAGTCTGTCATGTTAAATGAAGATATGATCAATATGAAGTGTACAGAATCCATTATCTTCAGATGTTTTTAATTTTTCTGTTGTGAATGAATTTTCTTCAAATTTTCAGATCCCTTTGAGAATTTATTTGTGTAAAATTCTTTTATCAAGATTGGGTTAATTTTTTCTATTGATGAAGAATGGACTGTTACAACATGGGATTATTTCAGTGATTAGTGTTGGCTTATATCTTTATTGCTCACATGGTTTTGTACATTTTTCATAGGATTATATACAGCAGAGTAAATGGCATGTTTGGATAGCTTTGCCCAAAATATTTTTGGATTACCTTTTTTTACTTTCTGGTGGCTCTCTATTAGGAAAATTTGGAAATTTAGTCTTTACCAGGTCTCTGCTTCTTGCTCTAGTTTTAGCCCTCTGCCTCTGTGCTATTTTCCCTTCATGTTATGTAAGTATAGTCTTTTTCCTTGCTCCACTTTCCATTCTCCCTGCTCTTGTCTGTTTCAAAATCTGGTAACTTCAAGATTCATTTAGTACTTTCTTACCTCAGAATCTCAGAGATTTTTCTTCTTTGCTTTCCCAAGCTATTCTTGGTCAGTCATTGAATAAAACACAATAAACCAAAATAAAAAAAATTCTATGGAACTTAGAAAGATGTTATTATGCCAGTATTAAAAAGAACAAAAACTATGTAATTAAAGTCTCGTTATCTTAATATCAGTTCTGAGAAAAATGGTGGGAAATCTAATAGAAGGTTGAATTGAAGATTAAAGAATGTAATTATAGCTACAACCGATGTTGCTTTGACAGAAGCAGTTTTATGAAACTTAGTTTTGTGTTTTGGAGATACTAAGTTTGCCTTAAAAATCTGGCCAGGACTGCTTCTTTCTATAGTCGCCAATACTTTTCCTTAATTGGTTTCTAGCTTAAACCAAAACCAACCAACCAAACAAATCTAAAAAAAACCAAAAAACCAAACAAACAAAAGCCTAGGACTTTTTAAATAATATTACCTCACAAGGTTTACTTTATGCAATGGAAACGTATCCCCTTCCCCAAATTACTTAACATTGAAGAAGGTTTTCCACACCAATCCTCCCACAGATTTTGTAAGCGAATCAGTCCCAATGTGTCAGCACTGTGGTCCTTTACCTCCTGGGATGAACTCTAGCCACATGCACATGCTAGCTTTAACATCTTGTTGATAATATAGGATATAATAACAACCTTCTGAGAGGAGGGAAGCATCCAAAAAGCATCCCAGTAATAGGTTTGCTTGACATGCTTATTAAAAAAGCTCACACCATAAGCCTGAATGTGTTCTAGGTTAGAAAAGTTCAGAAATCATTGATACATGTCTATTCATCAAAATCTCCAGTCATTTATTTTCTGAGTCTTAGCTTTAAAAAAGCAGTTTCAAGGTGGTTGCCGTGGGAGGAGGAGGGGAAAAAACAAAT